CCACTGCTGTTGCCTGAGTGCAGCAAATGACGACAGATTCACAGAGCTCAGCTAAATCGACGGCAATTAGAACACTGCGAGCCGCTCTGAAGTGAATGGGACTGCTTCCTCTTACGTGAATGGAGCGGAATTTTCATCTGCAAGAGCATCAGGCATTGTCTTGCAAATCAATGCATAGCCATATTCTGAGGTCGCGTCACCTTCAGCCTTTGCGAGTTCATCTGCCGCAGTGCTTGTTTTTTTAGTGCACGTCACGACTCGGCAGTCTACAGTGGCACTGGATGAGGGGTTGTAGAGAGCCACGAAGGAAGCGTTGTCTTGTTTGTCGTACAGGCCGTTGGCTTCGCTTTTTGAAGGCGGAAGTCCAGTGAAGTTTTTGAACGCTCCCTTCCAGGAGTCGACTGTGTCTTTGCATTTCGGTTGTGCATCAGTGAGAGATTTGAATGCATACGTTCCATCCTTGAACGGATTCTCAGCCTCTGAGTTGCTCGGAGCTTTTGTTGTTTGGGTCTGTGGGGGAAAAGAAAGTAGATAAACAACGCGGCCAAAATAATCTTGCTCAATGATGTCCCTCGAGGTGTGCCCTGCAACTTACTGGTGTCAAGTATTGCCAGAGCTTCCGCCATTCGGTATTTTCTTGTAGATCTCCAGTACCCGGCGTCGGTAACGTGTTTGGTTCTGAGGCCTGTGTGAAGTTGGACAACCCAGCTACTTCTCGAACAGCGTTGACCTCGTCGAGGCATTGGGCACTGCCGCCTGCAGCGAATGTATCCACAAGGCGACCCCAGTACAGGTGGGTCATTCAAATATATAGATGGGAAGGGAGAAGCATGTTAGAGCCCGACGAGCCACGCTCAGTTGTCCATATGAGGTAAAGTCCTGCAAATCCAGTTCGAAACACACAGACCCAGGTTTTATTGATAATTTAGGGGAAACGCAACCGCTACTCGCTTACTAGTGGTTGCAGTATATGTGACAGTGGTCGTTTTGGACTGTTGTGAGCCACCCAGTATTGGGGCGCTAAGCACTAGCAGGGATGTGCTGAGAAGAGCGCCGATCCTTGGCAGCATCATCAGCATGAGGGCTTCCACGAGCTTCAACTTGAAACGAAGCAAGATTAAGAAGCTAAAAAAATTATCTGCAAACTGAATTCAATGGAGGGCTTTGACAGCGTGCAGTAGTATGGTCCTTCCTTGCGTGAAATGTTGGTGGGAGTCGTACGAACGTGTTGCAAGGTCTGATTCGGCAGATCTTTGCAGCCTGAAGCATGCTCAACAAGTTCTTTAAGAGGAATATGAACCAACAAATGTTAGAAAACGCACTAGAGAAAAAATAGCCGAAAGAACCGTGGTTCATCGAAGAATCCTTGCAGCCCCGGCGTGCACTCGACCCAATGTTGACAGCAGCGCCATACCACAACACGCCCGATTCTCCCAAATACTGAAATGTACAGTCCCTATCCCTCGGCCCTTCTTTTGCAACTCATATAAGATCAAAATCACAGTCAGGTGCCCGCCTTCACGGTGCGCCGCGCAAGTCTGGAGATCAGCTAGCACACAGAACTGGCCCCATAAGGGCAACTGGACCAACATGGGCTTCAAGCGTGCAGCAGCGAGCAAAAAGCTACCCAAACACCAGATCCACATAGAACCTGTTCCAAGCTAAACAATGTGCAGGACATGTCGCAGCTTGGCGCGAATTTTCTCGAAGTTCTGCCGACCATCTGCCGCTCCTGTCCACGGGGAGACCAAACTATATGAGGCCCCGCGAAGAGCTAAGGGAACTCGTGGTCCGTTTTGGAAAGGGTCCCAGCAGAGCGCAACTCAGAGGGTGACTTGCTAAGGGATCCAACACCCAGCTGGGTCACCCTCGATAAGATAGAGCCTCTGGTATGAGCCTGAACGCAGTTTTTGCACTTCGAACCCAGGAGAAGACTGACTCATTCTGTTGCACATGTGCATTTGCCAGGGAGCCTGGCATTCATGCAGTTTCTCTCGTTTGCGCTCGCCTTCTCGAAAGGGGCCTATACTTGTCAGACTAGGAGATACCGCCTGTAGCGGCTATAGTTTCTAAGTCGCTTGAGCTTTCCTGACTTCCTGCGGGACTCTAGAAGCTTGTAGAAGCTACAAACCAGTGTTGTGGAGCAGCCAAAGGGCTGCTCACTAGTTGGCGTTTCAAAAAAAAAGCGAGAGCATTTTGCACTCTCGTAGGCTCGTATAGAAACGGCAGCTTAGGCATACACCCAGATGCAAACAAAGCCGGCACACGCCCTGCCGTGTAGCCAATAGTTTGAAACATCACAGCAGCATCATGCCAAGGGCTACAATGGCCAAAAAGGCGAAGTGCGGGACTGCAGTCATTGTAGAGCCAGTGAGGGAGGAAGTGATCATATTCCACTGATCCTGCCTGCGCAGCATTGAACAGTAGATTTAGAGCATCAAGTGAAAACAACAACCGCCGTGGATCTGAGGACAGCAATTTTAGCATTGAGGGATCGAATATTTGCTTACGTGAACGGAGCAGTATCTTTATTTAGAAAAGCAGTAGGCATCGTCTTGCAAATTAGCGCATAGCCATTCTCTGCAGCTTGGCCTGAACTGTCATCGAGAACTGCTCGGGTAGGAGCTGCGGACTTCGTACAAGTTGCGACGCGGCAATCGGCTGTGGCATTGGATTGAGGGTTGTAGAGGGCTACGAAGGAAACGTTGTCTTGATTGTCGTACAGGCCTGCAGCTTGGTTCTGTGAGGGTGGGAGTCCCGTGAAGTTTTCGAATGCTGCTTTCCAGGAGTCGACTATACTTTTGCAGTCCGGTTTGTCGGAGGTTAGGGGCTTGAAAGCGTATGTTCCATCTTTGAATGGCTCAGCAGAAGCCTCAGAGCCGTATGTTTGTGCTTGCGTCTGAAGAGCGGGGGCAAGAGGTGAGGACACACACACATCACACGCATACGCATTTATTTGAAGGGGCGTACATTCCAGTGCACCGGTATGCCTTTAACTTAGGAGCTTACTGGTATTAAGTATTCACACATTTTTTTCCAGTTGCCATCAGTGAGCTCGCCTTCCGGAGTCGGCAACACGCCTTCCTGCGTCGCCTGCGTGAAGCCAGGGAATCCAACTGCTTCGCGGGCAGCATTGACCTCATCGAGGCACTTAGGATCCTGACCTGCATGAATTGAGCTCAAATGCATCGAGCGCCTCTGACCTCCCGTTAAGTCAACTAGCAACAGATGTGTTGAGGTGACGTGAACACGATTCGTGATGGGAATTGACACATATATTCCAGGTCAAGCTTCAGCGAGGTATTGATATGGCAGAAATGCTTTTCATCGCTCACTAAGCTTCGCAGTATACGTTGCGGCTCCCGCTCCAACTGCCGCAATGCGTGGGACAGTCAGTAGCAACAAGGCACTCCAAACACGCAAGAAGCTTGGCGGCGGCATCTCTGCCAACAAGAAGTTGAAGCATCCCACAGATACAGATGATATTGGACAAGTGCAAGTATTCAAATGCAGAGGGACGTTTGGCGAGCAATGGAGGCGGAAACGCCGAACATAAGTAGTAACAGTGTAGACAGCTGTTCACTACATTGTGGGTCCGTGTGCGACCACAGACGAATGGGCTCTGAGACAGGCACAAGAGCTCGTCTAGAGAAGGCGGCGAAACTGAAATAAACAAACAGTTTCTCATATGAAACAGACTCAGAAACGATACCGAAAAGAATATTCATGAGGGCTGAGTAAGTTGAAGGCGTCACAGTATACCATTGAACCCAGGCGAGTGATGGATCCTCTCCCGCAGTTATTGTCTCGTTGTTTCATATCTGCGCTCCATATCGACCCAACCTCCAATAAAGTCTGCTCTTTCCATAGTTGTGCTTGTTTTTTTACTACTAGTCTCAGAACAGTAGGCGTACTGTGCAGCTTTTGGCACACTGTGCGAGGAAGAGCGAACACTTCGAGGCACCAGTCTCGAGCCTCCCTGCAAACCTCAGACAACACAATAAGAAGCCGAACAGAAACCACGCATGGGTATAAGCTGCATAACGCTTGAATAATGAGCTGTTGAGATGCAGGAGATGGCATCTTGCTGGGAAGGTGACGCCGGCTTCTGCTGGTCCTCCAAAATCCGTCATCCTCTACACGAGGAACTGCCCAGAGACACACGGGAGCGGAACAGTGGCGTTTATTCCGGAGAAATGTAGCAGACAATACTTTCTTTGGAGATTAGTGTGGCGAATCGGCAAGCCCAGAGCGGACTTGGAGAAATCAAGCAGCAGAACTGGGGAGTTTCCACATCATACATCGCGGACTCAGCTTGAGCAGCATGTAAACGCGTCCTGACAGTTGTTCCCCTATATCCACCTTCAAATATTAGCGCAGCCACCATGGACAGAGCTCTACACGTGTGCTTTTTCATTGCACTGCGGCTTCGCAACTTCAGTTTGCTCTCAACGCAGTGACAACGCTGCAAGCGTGGCTACTGATTGCCCTACATCTATTAAATTCATTGATTTCTAGAAAAAAAAGATTAGCTTAGCCATGGTTCCCAAGCTTTATCATGGGTTTAGATTTATGGGACTGTTCTACCAAGGAGCCATCACGGAATAGAATTTCAAGAGCAAACTGAAAAAGGTTTGGTGCCATAATTGGCACAAAGATTCGCTGCCAGAGCATCAGCTCCACTGGATACAGACTCTGTCAGACCATGTGCACTTGTTCAACGGAGATTTCAACGCGTCACAGTGCCAGCATGCCGAGCGCGAGGATGAAAATGCCCACAAGTTTCGGGACTGCGGCAGATGCAGAACCTGTGAGGGAGGAGACGATCCCGTCCCACTGCTGTTGCCTGAGTGCAGCAAATGACGACAGCTTCACAGAGCTCAGCTAATACCACGACAACTGGAACACTGTGAGCCGCTCTAAGTTGAAGGGAGCTGCTTCCTCTCACGTGAATGGGGCGGAATTTTCATCTGCAAGAGCATCAGGCATTGTCTTGCAAATCAGCGCATAGCCGTATTCCGGAGTCTCCTCCGCCTTAGATTGTGAAAGCAGATCTGAGTCAGAGCTTGTTTTCTTAGTGCACGTCACGACCCGGCAGTCCGCAGTGGCACTGGATGAGGGGTTGTAGAGAGCCACGAAGGAAACGTTGTCTTGTTTGTCGTACAGGCCGTTGGCTTGTTTCTTTGACGGCGGAAGTCCAGTGAAGTTTTTGAGCGCTGCCTTCCAGTATTCGACCGTTTCGTTGCAGCTGGGTTCTGCGGCAGTGAGAGATTTGAATGCGTACGTTCCATCCTTAAACGGACTGTCTACCTCTGAGGCCACTTGAATCTTTGCGTCTTGTGTCTGGGAGAAAGGAGCAAGAGAGAGAAATTCTGCTTCCAGAAATGGGCTTGTTCCTTCATGCTACTCATCATACGCGATGTGCCACTTACAGGTATCAAGTGTTGACAAATTTTCAACCATTCGCTAGTTTGTTCCAATTCATTGCTAGGCGGGGTAGACAGTTGGTTGCCTTGGGCGGCCTGCGTGAACTTGGATATTCCTGCTGCCTCTCGTGCAGTGTTGATCTCTTCAAGACACTGGACGCCGTCTTCTGCATTGACAACATCCACACAAAGTCCATTGGCTCAGCGAGCCACTTGGATCTATCAATCACTGCGAAGCTTGCGGCAAACGCTTCGAACTCTACTTGTGCACTGCAGCTGGCGTCGTGCACATTGCGCTTAAGCAATTCAATACACTGAAATTGAGGCTATAGCAGAATTCGGGCGGAAAATTTGGAAACCGCACGCTCACCAAGCTTTGCAGTATATTTGACTGTTTGTGGTGTAGCTTGCTCTGAGCCTTCTGGCTTTAAGGCGCTCATCACCAGTAGCGATATGCACAGGAGAGCACTGATCCTGTGGAGCATCTCGGAGAACGGACCGCGAGTAATTTCTGCTCGAAACAACTTTGAAAATTGAACAGCTATTCGCAAACAGAATGAACGAGAGCGTGTTAGCGGCACGCCTTAGTGCGACTTTTACCTGCATAAAATGTTGATGTGACGCCGTCGTCAGGGCACCAGGCAGGAGCACATGCGATATCGAAAGAGGCAGATCTCAGCTGCTAGATATCTGCCCACCACCTTCCTTGAAACGAAGATGCAGCCAGGAAAAACAGGAAAAACTATGAGCGAGAGGAAAAAAATGTACCCATTCGTCGATGCTGTTTGCCAATGAAGCTCTGCAAATGCTGTGTGCATGACATCCAATATAGTCACTTGCGCCATGGTCCTGCGTGACTACTTCCCCCCACTGCTGAAATGTAAAAATCAGGCCAAAATGCCATAATTACGCTTTTTTTGTGATATCAAAGCTACGAATAAGTGCAGTTTTTCACTGCGGATTGTGCGTGAATGGAAAGGGAACATCATTAATCACTCGCACATTGAGTCAGCACACAAAGGAGTCGGCCTAGGAAGAGTTTGGAATGAGCAGAACACGGAAAAACATAGCCAAAATATTTCAGTAATGCATTGATCTCCGCGTCTTAGGATGATGAGCAGGGCGAGTTGTCGGCACATTCTCATCTCCGGGTTTCATGCTGTCCCTCAATTTTGGTGTTACGAAGATGCGAGCATTGCAGTCCTACAAGCCAGCTCCTGGTCAACTCTAAGCGGCTTCTAAAATGCTATAGGGCTTTTGAGGGACCCACTGAGGCTCTGGTTTGCTGTGCAAAGGAAGATGGGGGTCTCGGAGGGTGGCTGACAGAGGGCCCATGTAGTGAACAGGTGTCTACACTGTTACTACGTGTCCCTGGGCAAGTCCGACTATGGTTCACTCTCTGCACTGTCTGTCAAAGATACCTGATTCTCGCCAACAACTACTAAATACCCTGATTAACCACGTACAATTGAGTTCATATTATTATAAGGTACGAAAACCCAGAATAATAGAACTGAGAGTCGACCCTCGCTGAGGGTCAGTGCCCGAGTCGCGGCACCAACCTCGCGTCCAGCCCCATACCCGGTGCTGGCTAGCGAGCACATTGTTCCCTTTTATGATTTTCCACTAACCAACGGTGCCTTATGCCTTAAGATATTCAATATTATTCATGCTTTTCGCGTTAGTAAGCCTCGACGAAGGTCAATTGTAGTGCCAGGCACTACAACTTCCCCCCTGCTAACGAGCCGAAACCGCTTGTCGGTTTTTTTTTTGGTTCCGGCCTTTCTCTTCTGCTCATTCTCTCCGTTCATCCCGCTTCACGACAATCTCGGGACGTCCCGCATGTCAGGGGCTGTATGCCATTGGCTAGCACGTCAAATCGGCCGACCTTCTCTGACTAGGAATAGGTCTTCACGGATCTCGGCAGGTGCGGAATCGTTCTCCGACCACTCTTACTCCTTACCCAGCCCCTCTACTCGTAGAGGTCGGTGTCTTCGGACGTCCTGTAGTCCCCTAGTAGTCGTCCAGCCCTCCCTTAGCCTGATGCTGGCGTCGTTAGTTCCTAGAACGTAAGCAGCTGGTAGAGTCTTGGATTGTAAGGTGCTCCTGCACCCTTTCCCCTCCTTTCCAGGACGAGAACGGGCGGCCAACGTGTATGAAGATAAAGGGGGAGAGCAGCGGGAAGGGAAGAAGAAGAAGAAGTAGAACGTCGTCAGGACGGATGGCGTTTGCGCTGGCGGCGTCGCCACGCCCGAAGTAAGGCGGGACATCCTGCCAAATGGTGAGCGGGTTCCCATGTGGCCCGTTCCTCGGGGGCACCCCTCCACTTAACAAGATATTGCGCCTCCTCTCCAGTCCCTCTTTGGTCCACGATTTAGTCGACAAGATACTGGTCTGTAGGGTTGCCGGCGTCATCGCGTGTTGGTGGCCAGCCCACTGGAGCTTCGCGTGGAACTAAAGCGGGATCGCGGGGATGATGTGGGACCAATTGTGAAACATGGAAAACATTGTGTCCCTCGTAGGTGGGGGGCAAAGCAAGACGGTAAGCGACCGTGCCAATGCGTTCAGTCACTGTGAAGGGCCCCCGGTATCTGAGTTCAAACTTAGAACAATGGTTAAGAGCAGGTAAGTGTTTGCCACTAAGCCAGACTTGGTCGCCCACCTTATATTCCACAGCCCTGCGGCGGGAGTCAGCGTAGTATTTCTGACGCCACTTTGCCTGGAGGATGTGACTCCGTGCGCGATCGCAGAGCTGCCGGAAGAGTTTCGTCATAGGGGGAGTGAGCGTAGGAGCCAAAGCACCAACAATGTCTAGGTCCGCCGCGGTTAAGGGATTCTCCCCAATCATGATTTCGAAAGGGGAAAC